CATCCTACTCCCTGCCCCCCCACTGAAAATGCAGACCTCATGGACCCTCACCCCCGCCTTACTAATGTCCCTTTTTATTTGCTTTTATTTTTCGTGTCTGAGTTTCACCCATTGGGGGTGTCCATGGGGCAGGTATTCCGCCTCTGGGTTCTGTGTGCTGATTGGTGCTTGATCCATCGCATACCAATCATGAACGGTACTTTCCCTCGTGAATAACTCCATGTCGTAGCGACAAACATAAATGCTCTGAGATCTTGAAAAGCCTTACATGGCAGCATCGAAAGATCACACAAAAGCAAGAGCTCAGTGTTTCCTTGTCCAGAGACATATTCTTGTTCTATGTTTCAAACCACAGACATTTGGGTATGAAAGGTGGCGCCCTCCAGAGGCTTCTTGTGCTTGTGCACTTTCTTCGATCTGCTCTGGCCCTCTGTTTCCCAGTTAATTCCTGAAAATGTTCCTGAAATCTTCTTTCAGCTGGCAATTATGAAGAGGTGCAGTTTATCTAATTAGCACTTGCTTCTTAGAAAAGCATAATTCCCATATGCACAAAATATCCTTAGTCATTCAGTAGTATTTTTCTTTTAATGACTTAATACTTCTGGATGGATTAAACACTCCACACAGGATTGTCTAGTAATTTTAGGATGGTGATTGGAAGTGAATGTTATTGGGTCGGATCAGAGAGACCGAACTGTGCCCAGGACCCTCTGGTTTTTGGTGATGTGCTGGGTGGAACATCTCACTATAGCCGCTTGGCCTGAGGGCTCCGCTGGCTGACGGATGTGTCCAACGCGAGCTGGGGGGGAGGGATTTGAATCCAGTTCAGCCACAGGCCTGGGACGTGCACTTGCATGTTTTCTGTAGGGCTTCTGCCTTGTGATCCTAATGTTTGTGGTGAAAAGTACCGCCTTTCCTTTATCTGCCATCTGCATGCGTTTTGTTTTATGGGGCAGTGAGAACCTGCCAGGATCTGTGTTCATCCACAGCCGTGTCTGTCTGTCACACGGGGGCGGCGCAGGTCCGACCCGGCCCTCATGTCTGTCGCCTTGGCCCGCAGGACCAGTACGGCAACTACGTCATCCAGCACGTGCTGGAGCACGGCCGAGCCGAGGACAAGAGCAAGATCGTGGCCGAGATCCGGGGGAAGGTCTTGGCTCTCAGCCAGCACAAATTTGCCAGGTGAGGGGCGGAAAATGATGGACGGCAGGAATGATGGAAGCTGTGCTGTGGGCGGAGCTACTGGCCAGCCATGTGACCTCTGACCCAACGCACTTAATGTGTGGCTTGAACCTCCTCGGCTCCTCTCCTCATCTTCGTCCATCCGTCCCTTATTCCTCCTCCATTCAGCAATGTGGTGGAGAAGTGTGTGACGCACTCATCCCGCGCGGAGCGAGCCCTGCTCATCGACGAGGTTTGCTGCCAGAACGACGGGCCGCACAGCGCCCTCTACAGCATGATGAAGGACCAGTATGCCAACTATGTGGTGCAGAAGATGATTGACATGGCCGAGCCAGCTCAGCGCAAGATAATCATGCACAAGGTAGCTTTGCGGCCGCTGCCTGGCGCAGCCACGCGGTTCTGCTCCGTCTCCCTGTGGGAAGCTGCCTACATTCCCTGGGGTGTTGCTGGGGCATGAGCTCGAGGTGTGATACTGTGTGGGCATTGACTCTGGAGGTTCATCAGCCCTCTGCAGTGTCCTGTCGCATTTTGCTGCTTGCTTGATTTTCAGCGTCCCCCCCCCCCCCCCCTTTCTCCCTCCCCAGATCCGGCCTCACATTGCGACCTTGCGCAAGTACACGTACGGGAAGCACATCCTGGCCAAGCTGGAGAAGTACTACATGAAGAACAACACAGACCTGGGCCCCATCGGGGTCCCGACCAACGGGCTGATGTAGGCGCCCTCCCCGCTGGCTCTTTCCTGGCACGGGGGCACTAGTGTAATTCCATTATAGCCCCGTCACCCACCCCCCTGAGAGGGTTTCCCGCTGTGATACTGTCCTGAAGGGAACTACCAAAAATCAACTTAACCTGACGATGCTGTGATGCCTGCCACAACATAGGCTCCTTAAACTCTCCCCCCCCCCCCCAAACTAGCGCCCCCCTTTGTGGCCTGGAGGGGCGTCACATCACTGAGCTGGGGAAAGCACAGAATGCTTGTATATGATGTAATTGTATCAAAACTGGTTGTCATATTTTGTAAATTTTTACCTTGTAAATTTGCTGTATAAAATATGGGTAGTTTTTAAGTTGGATTTCAGCATTCTTCTACCAGCAAGTGACTTGTTGCGGATGGTGATAGTGCAGCACAACACGTTCAGGTTTTTTGCTTTTTTTTTTTTTTCTTTTGAAAAGAAATTCCGTCCCCCTGAGGTCTGGCATCAGCTCGTTTAATGGGGAGTCGAGCCTTTTGTTTGCATTAATGTGCACTCCCACCAGGGGGCAGCGATGCTAACCTGTTGTAACTTCCGGTTTTAGGTTTGTTTTATAGCCATCGTCACACGAAAGCTGACGGGGCTTAACGCCGCTGCGATTGGCTGCCCTTAGAGCTTTTATTTAATTCGAGACCCTGACATTGTCCTCAGTTCCTTATTTGCTGGTGACTGCTCTGAGGTGGGCTGTGAGGGGTCTAAGGCGCACCTGTGTGTTTAATGCTGCCTGTCCCCGTGGGTGGCAGTCTGTACATAACCGTGGTTAAGTTGTCTTTTGGTGGTTTCCATGTTCTCACCGGACGAAAGCTTCCATTATGTAAATGATATGTTAAACTGCATCTTTTTTTTAAACATAGTTTCATCTAGTTTGTGTCGTAGTTGAGATGAACACTGCCCTCTATATATATATATAAATATATAAATACACGTTTGTTTTCAGAAATGATTTAGCACCTGTATAGCTGCTTTGTATATAAGTAAATAGCTCACTGTGGGGTCCGGTGGTGGGCAGGTCTAGGGGGGGCTTGTGGTGGTGGGGGGGGGGGGGGGGGGGGTCAGTCCAGTTTAGTCATGCCAACATTTAGCTGTGCACCCCCCCACCCCCACCTTTTCCAGGGGGGCTCTGGATTCTTTCTTTGAGACATTATATTATATTATAATGCTGTATTAATATTTATAATGGGATATTATAATATACTATAATGTAATCCTGAGCAATGGCTGTCAGTTGGTAGGTCCTGATAGCCTCTTTTGTATGGTATGCATGATACAATAGCTTTTTTGTTTATATAAAAATGTAATCAGTGTGTAGTTATAACACATAGTTGTAAGTTTACAGTTTTGAATTAGAATCTTGTCTCGATGTTCATGAGCCTTGCTGGCTTGGTAGTGAAGCTTACATTGTCTGTACAGTTGTACATTTGTAAACCTCAATGCTGTAAATGTCCTGTCTTTTACCCTTTTGAAAACCTGAAATTTGAATTTTAGTGTATATTCATTCTCCCCCTTGCATATAGTGTAAACTGTACATTTCTTTGGAACACAAGTGATTTTTAAACCTTTATATGGCTTCACAATTTGAAATGGCTTTCTTATCTGTTAGAAAGTCTTTGTACTAAACAGCTGTCAGATACTCTATTCATATTGACATTTTGGAAGCATTTTACAGTAAACTTTGTGTACTGAATAGAAAAGATTAGTCCCCCAGGGTACCTTGGCGATGTCTGATTTGACAGGCTTTTTTTGTACTGAAGAGTGCTGTATTTTGGGACACCTAGTAACTTGTAAGTCAAAAATGTAAAATATTGTCAATTATACATCTGAAAATATGAGGCTAACACTATCTAAAGTGATGTACATTTTCAGCTGCCTTATGTACATTTACAGAGGTAAATTCAGTCCATCCCCCTTCCCCCAGGCAGAATTGTGACTGTACAATTAAACAATCCTTTGTAACGTTGGACTCTGACTGCATTTTGACGTCTTCCTCCTATCTTGTGCTCTTGAAGCCTTTGTCTGCATCTCCACCAGCCCTTTGTGTGCCTGCTGACGGCTTTCCGGAGTGCCCCCGCCCCGCCCCGCCCTGCCTGCTCTCGCGTCCCTGCCCTTGAGTCTGTGCCCCCGCTGGGGGGTGCGTTCACTCTTTGAGGAGCTCGCGTTTCAAAGGCGTGCCAGCGCTCACAGGACACTGGCGCGTCTTGGGCTGCGTCTTGGGCTTTCGTCTTCCGGCCCCATCCCTGCTGCTGTTCCCCTGCCGCGTTGGAAGCGAGTCAGGCGGCCGCACCCCATTATGCTCGCCTGCAATCAGCTCCGCGTTCATTTGCGAGACCACCTTATATACGCGGCGTATCGGTGTGGCAGGGGACTGGGGGTACGTACAAAGAGCCGCTCGATGCCCTTGCATTTCTGAAAGGGGAGGAGGTGTTTCGAAGCGCCTAAAACCTTAATGACCCGCTTGGTTCTCCCTAAGAACAGTGGCTCACCTTGCTGCGCTGTATCTGTGATGGTGACTGGTGTCATCAGTACCTTGTTTGTCCAGCAGATGCCGCTGTACCCAGACCTGCCACCTGTGACAGTAGTCACCCTCATGTCTGCTTTAAGCTGGATCGGGTTTCATTCGGCTGTGTTGTGTGCTACGGTTGCTGCTGGTGTCATACCCCAAGTGTCATCTCCTTGGTGTGGTTCTTTTCTCTTAGCAATTGCAGACTTAAGACCCCTGGGACATTAACCTCAGTGTCACCTCTGCAGAGGTGTTGCCTGTGATAGTGTTAAAACCAGTGCTGGTGTCCCCCCCCCCCCCCCCATTGACGTGACGAGAGGGTGGCAACGTCCCCCTCGCCCATCCCCGGGCTGCACTGTGTTAAATTCTGCTTATCTGTCATCATTCAGCATTTCAAAAGGAAACGCGAGGCGGTGCATGTCTGCCGGGTAAACTGGACCCGCCTGCCGTTCTTGGGGGAGCCATGGGAGACGGCGCTGAGTCAGAACCCGGCTGAGGCTGTGGGTGTTTAGGACCCGGCCGCTATTGCATGCGGGGGGGGGCTGACCATGAAGCCAGTGGTCTTCCTCCTCTGGCTTTGGATGACTCGTCTGAGGAAGTGGCACAGACCCTAAATAAACAAGCTGTATCATCCCTCCCCCCAGTTGACCCCATCACCTCCCCAGCTGTCTGCCGCCGGTCCCATTGCTGGCTGGGAACTCCGAGCCCATGAACCTCGCAGAGTGTCAGCTCTTGGAAGGCTCCGTAGGAGTGGCCCCCACCCCGCCCAGCTTGGTGGATAAATGGCCCACGGCCTTGGGCTGAGAAGTGGGAGGGGCTGAGGGTTTCAGAGCCTGCTTCTGCTTGTCTCTGACTTAGACACTGTCAGTATCAGTGGCCTATTTGGCTTGGGTGGCCTTGAAGGACCTGCCCATCTTTCCATGCGACTCGTAAGCAGCTGGGAGCGTCTGTGGCTTAGACGCCTCGTTAAGCTGCGTTCTCACGTACAGCCGTTTGAACCAAAAAGCTGCTTCTGGCTCTGATTTTCTCCAAACATACCTGTTAACACAGTGGAATATTGTACTAGAGCAGGTTGGCTTGCAGAGCAAAATGGGCCTTGTACCAACAGTCTGGTTCTGTTTGAAAACTTCTACCCCGCGGTGTTGAAATGTTACATATGACCTCAAGGATATTACACCACAGGCTGGGGTTCCAGTAATCTGACTTATGGACATAGCAAATGCTTTTGAGCGTGGGGTTGGGGTTATAGCCCCCCCAGTGAAACAGTGAAATCACTGACCCTGAAATGCAAGAAATGCGAGAGAGAAAGGCGAGTGCGATGATCTCGCTGGCCAGGATTAGGGATGATCATCACGGGTTACGGGGCAGTTATTCATCCTCAGGTGGGGCCAGGAGAAGAGGCCTCCCCGCAGATTTCTGTCAGTGCGGCCTGATCTATGCTCTGCGTGTTTATAGGACTTGGGGGCGGGGGGGGGGGGCATTTACTAAACATGACACTGTTGGCAACGACAACGTTTCAGGGCAGGATTCAGGTTTGCGTCAGCCTGGGCGCCCCTACACGCCGAGACAGGAAGTGATGCGTGAGTAAACTAGGGCAGCTCAGAGTGTGTGTGTGTGTGTGTGTGTGTGTGTGTGTGTGTGTGTGTGTGTGTGTGTGTGTGTGTTTAGGAGTGTGTGCTCAGCTGAATGTAAGCAGGAAGCTGCTGCAGTTTAAGCCATCTGGCACCGGTGGTCATGGGTACCACAGACAGACAACTCGTTTCTGCTTCGGGCCGGACCTCAGCCGGGGTGGTGACCGGCGGCCCATCCGAGCGTTGGCTGGCCATGACCGAACTGGCAAAGCCGGCTGTTTATTCCATGGAAGGGTCCTGCTATTTTAAATAAACCACTTTCATTCCCTTGGATTTCCCAATCGTGGGAACATCAGCCAGCCTTCCGATAAATCAACACTGAATCACACAACATCGCTTTCATCAATAACAACCTTACTGTTGGTTCTTCTGTGACTCGGAACCTCAGACCAGTTAATGATTTGAAAGGTGATTGTTAGTTGATCTCCTCACACTAAGACACGTCCATTTCCATTGCCCTGCATTCTTTTTGATTCTCTCTTCTGAAGCTGACTTATGGAGATGCATTGATACGTGCTGGTGACTTTCTGACCTGAGCATCCGCCAAACCGTGCTCCGTCGCCCCGAGTGACATTCCGTGCGACTGATGCAGCCGGGGATCGTATGGTGAAAATGGCTGCAGATATACATTTTCTGTGACACCTGATCTGCAGGCGTGTCTCACCTCACTGACTGTCCTACTTAGACACCGTGAGCTAAGGCAGCCTCGGGAAGGGGCCCAAGGATGTTTGGGTAGCCCGTTAATGCGACCACATCTAATGAGGACTTCTTGGTTTTTTCCCTCCCTCATCCTGAATGTGACTCATGTTTTGATTAATTGTGTAGCTGCTTTGTGGCCAGTGGCATGATTGTGACAATGACAGGTCCCTTCTTGCCCTGGAAGGTAACAGCAGGCTAATGATCCCATCATCTTCCAAACCCTAATCCTTAGCAGTCTTAGTTAATCTTCTGTAATATTTTGGCTGATTCATTTGAAGCATCAGCATCTATTAAACTCCAGCTGCTTCCCTGGTCGCCATGGCACTGAGTGGGTGCAGTTGGCATGGTCTGTTGCCCTGTGGTGCCGGTGGTGCCTGACCTGTCTTTGATCCAG